CATGAGGACAACATTGTGCACCATATTAACTGAGAAACAGAAGATCAGATGGTTTGGTCATCTCGTCAGAATGCAGAATCTTCGATCCGCAGCTGTGTGTATCAGTTCGTATGTTGACACCTCTCCATGTCATGACACACGGCTGTCAAGAATCTTCTCGTGCTGTCTTCCTCTGTATTTCTTTCCACAGATCGTTCCGGTGGTCACAGCATTTTAGTAGTAGTAGTAGATTTTCACCCCACTAAGACATCACACAAGCTATAAACACCCGATGACACAGAGTGCCACCATGTGGATGAGAATCACCCGTGGAGAGGTCCCAGAAACCGCGTTCAGCCGTTAGACCATATTTTTGATCGCGCTATATTGCGGCCCCTGTCAAGAGCCAGGGTCGGGCTTCAAAATGGAGAAAAACTGCATCTGACAAGGAGATGACCAGATGAATGTGCAAATTCACAGCATATTCCAGTTTCCCTCTTCTCAAAATATAACCCACACACACACAAACTGATGACTGTCCCTGTCAAATCTGTGTGATGGGTTGTCTCCGAGCATTTTATTTTAGATAATTTATGGCGAGTGCCTGGCCCCCCCCCCCCCCCCCCCCCCCCACCCCCCCCCCCCCCCCCCCCCCCGCCTTTTTTTCAAGAAAACTCTTGTCCTAAGACCCTTAAAAAAAATTTCTTATAGTTGGATTGTTTAAGTTTGCTCGCATCTTCCTGTTACTGCTCATGATCCTCGTTCTCTCCCTTTCCCTACAGCTTCCATCCGTTTCGTCCCTTTTATTTTCACCGTAAAACCCCCTTACCTTCTCCCTGACACATTCCTTCCTCTTTTCCGACTATCTCCGCTGATAATTTAGATCTAATGTTTCACCTAATTACCCCCGGGACTCAACCGACCACGGATCTCAGGTGAAAACCTCAAAGACTGTCGGTCCTCTTGCTTCCCTTGGAACTCACCTGGCTTTGATCATTTGACGAACTGATTAGAACACTGAAATTAATCCAGTGAAAGTCGCTACGGCTTTCTAGAATTCTCCAGAGACTAATACGTGTCGATAGCCGGGCGTTAGGAAATCGATTCCACCCAGTCTACTTCCGGCACAGGTTGTGGTAGTCCAGTTTAAAGTCAACACAAACATGGAGGTGGTTTTAGAATTATGAACTGCGACTCAGAACAAATTGATGTGTTAACGGGCTTTGGTAAATTTGACTTCGGTACTAGCCTAATCTTTCTGTTAGTTAATGTCTGTTTTTATGAATTTTGATTTCTTGTTTATTTTCACTTTATTTTCCTTTTCAGTGCTGCTTTAGTTGTGGCCGCTGAGAATGATTTATGAGTTTTGATTTTCGGTTTCTTTTCTACCTTCGTCCTTCCTTTTCTCATGTTTTGCTGCTCTTCTGCATCTCCCTCGTTATTTCTTGCATCTTTTGTTTGAGCTGCCACTCTTTTGTCAACAGCTTAGTTTGCATTATCTCCTGCTATCCATCTTTATCCTCTTTTTGGCTTATTCTTGCTACACCTTAATTTACTTGTCGTGCCTCTTACTGTTTATATTTCTCCACCTTTCTGTTTATCTCCAACATACTCATGTTGCTACTCTTCCGTCTAGAGGAACCGTTGATCGCCTGCCTAGGGCGCGGGACTCATGCTGAAGACCAGGGTTCAGTCCTCGGTAAAGGGAGATTTTATCTGCCTAGGAATGGAATCAACAATAAACATTCTGATCTGCACAGTTTATGGCGACTGCATTAGCCATGCGGTCTGTAATCCTAGTAGCGAGGCGTGAACAATTCACATGCATCAGCCGGTTACAATTACATTGTAGGGGGGTAGCACAGGATATTGTCCTCCTGTCGTTTTGCTGTTGAAAGTATCCTTTCGCAGCTAGCACTAAAGTATCACTAACTATAGTTCGTTCAACAACTCATAAACACACATACAAGCCATTTTCCTAAAAACCGCCAGTTAGATCGCAATGATTTTTTTTTGCATGCAGCTGTTACGGCAATATATTTTTGACTAAAGAAAAATTGCATATGTATTTTTTTTTTCTTTTCTCTTTATGATATATATTTTTATCATAAACCGTCTTGGTAGACTTTTGGAAGGTCTACTTTCATTAGTTTCAGGAGGTAATGCACAGTATGACTGGTTTAACTGGGAGTCAGAGAAAACCTATGTAATTCATGAGTGACCTAAGCCTGCAGTGAGCAGTGTTCTTTTCGCTATGTCCAGGACTTTAATCATTTGAAGAATTTGTAATAAATAGTAAAATAGTGCATTTTTCTTTTCCACTGGAAAGTTCAAGCGCGCGATTGCAGCCGTTACATGCATGTCTCGCTACTGTAAAATCCCCGGATTCTGACCCCCCCCCCCCGCCGCCGCTCTCTCTCTCTCTCTCTCTCTCTCTCTCTCTCTCTCTCTCTCTCTCTAGGTCTTGCTAGTGAATGACATGTCCGTTGGCATACATTTCCTGGCTTTGTTCTGATAGTTGGGCTTTCTAAGATAGATTTTAACTGTCTGCTTCTGCTTATCCTCATTCTCTCACTCCCTTCCATCTTCCTCCTCCTCTTATACATTTCCATGTTGCTGTTACTCTATTTGCTTCTTTTTCTCGTACTGCTTCTTGTTGTTTCTTCTATGTCATTTCCCTCCCTTTCAAATATCTTTCTTTTGCGTCTCCATCTCCTCCCTCCTCTGAAACCTCTCATACATCTTCCTACTGCTGCCCCTCTATTTTCCTTCCCTTCTCCGACACTTTTTTGCTGATACTTTTTCATACTCCTTTCTTTTCCTGTTCATCATCACGTAGCACGTCCTTTGCAGAACGTCGCTCTCATCGCGATCTAACTTAAAATACTCGGTCTCCCGCCTCGTGCTCCCCTGCCCCTCCTTACTGGTACCATGCCTTCTGCTGTTAATCCTTCTATATTCTTCCTCCTGCTTTTCACCCATTTGTCTCGTACATCCTCACGAGGTTTACTCCTCTAGTTCTTTAGGCTGCTATTCCTCCATCCATCTATTCTTTTCGTACATCCTCAATGTGTCAACTCTTTTTACGACTTCCAGCTAATAGTCATCGACTTTGTATTCCTGCTCCCGATCTGCTTGCCGCTGTTGATCCTCTTCATTCGTTTGCTTCTTCTTCTTCTCCTGCTTCTTCTTCTTCTTCTTCTTCTTCTTCTTCTTCTTCTTCTTCTTCTTCTTCTTCTTCTTCTTCTTCTTCTTCTTCTTCTTCTTCTTTCGCTCCTCCTTCATTTTTTTCTATTCTTCCTCCCTTTTGTCTTCCTTCTTTCAGACTTATTATTCTTCACTATTAAAACAAAACAGAATATAACTAACACTAATGCAATTTAAACCTTTATGTTTGTACCCACTTATACGAATGAGAAAACAATGAATGTTTATGTTGTTAAGTATCAACCAATCCTCAGATGAGAACAGACTGTCCTCTAATACCTAGCTTGCATTGCTTCTGGAGCCAATCCAGCCACACACATCAAATATAATAATTGTTTTAATGAAGGACACAGTCGGCGAGGAACGTACCTGACTACCACACATCATTGTATCCTGGTCTAGCATTAACGAAGCCTTACCATTTTAGGCGTGCGCCCATTTGTCTTTGTCAAGTGAAACAGTGAAGGACTTTTTCTCCTACCTTCAGGCGTAATGCATATATTGTGTTAGACCTATATTAGTTTAGACCAGTCGGCACTCAGTTGATGATTTAGACATCATCCCACCAGCCGCCTTTACTTCCCATAACTATATTTGGTACTCTTTTAAGGCTGGGAACACCTGGGAGCCAAGACATTACAAAAAAGTCTGCCTCTGTTGGGATGTGAACCCACGACTTTCGGATTTGAATCCACAGACGGACGTCTAGCTACTACACCACGACGGTTCCCTTCGTGTCCTTGATGCCAGTTAAATAATTACCAAACCTCGGCGTACCATTAACATTCCATTTCCACTGTTGTCTTTTTAGAACAGAACCTTTCCGTGGCAGAAGATCGACTTCATTGCCCTGCGTTATGGCTCATTCTCTCACCGCAGATCAAGTTGCTGCTAAATTACCCGCAGTCGGAAGCGAACCTGATACCTTGAAATTAGGCAGCGCGTTCACAACGCCTAAGCCACAGACACCGACCCTGTGCGGGTAAGGATTGTATTTACAATGCACACGGCTTAAGGCGATCTGGGATGTGGCGAACATATGTTATGAAGAATAAGTTGTCTATCCTCGGCAATTTGTCCTGCTCAAACACTTATCCGGATAAGACGAATTTCTAATAAGAATAACAATTTCTTAGGTCCCCGGAGAGTTTTTCTTATCAGGTCACCACTATGTTCTCAAATACATCAGTAGCTGCAATGCGTCCAACTACCAATGAGGAGGCGGCACACACAGCAACTGCCCTACACCTGGTGACTGTAGTCAATACAGAACAGAACTTGTAACGATGACGGTGAAAATAATATTGATTGAAGATTCTCAAAATGAAATATCATCTGTAAATGACAACTGAATTTGTTGTTGTTCTTTTTCTTAATGTCTAGGCTGCGATATCTCCGCCTTTCCGCCCAGCATATTCAATTTCAACGTCCTCACTTGGTCCCCTTTTATGTCATGCTTGTTACCATTCTGAGAGACATAAAGAGTGGATTCACTAACAAGAATGTCGTAAAATACAACTATTTGGTGGCGTTTTCTTCGAAGTCGGAATGTATCTGCATGAGAGGCAAGGAACCAACAGTCTGCTTACAAATAAGTCAGATCTGTAAAAACGGTTAATCGTCCAAGAGCGGACGAACCTCCAGAACTTTCTGACAGAGTTTACAGCCGGTGAACGCGAAGAAGAAAGAAGACAGCATGCTTGTTAAAGCGCAGTTGGTCTTTTCTGTTTTTCCCAAAAGTGGATTCCAGGAAACCCACGCGGGGTTGATGAAATTAAATCGTTGCACGTGTACCGAGGTTTCGAACCCCATTGCTATGCCACCGGAAAAGACACTGTAAGGATATCTTCAAGGTCATTCTCGGGGCTGATGGTATAGCTTCCGGATGTGGTAGTGTTATCGTCGTCATCCTGATTACGGGACTTGCTTCCGCAAGGAATACGCTGAGCTGCTGTAGAACTATGACAGCCCTTTGGAGTCAGATACATCCCAGCGGGTTGGGCATTCATCTTCTGACATAAGTCCCAGGTTTTCAGGTTTTGTGTGGTGAGATCTGTCTGGAATGTGACTTTCTTACTGCCAACTCCAGGATCCCCGCGATCCGGGATGTTCTGCGGGTACTGACCAGGCCCTGAAATTGAGCTAGAATGTTGTTGTTGTGGTTGTGGGTGGTAATGTTGCTGTTGTTTGCCACTCGGTAAAATATACGATGGATGATTGAGACAATTCTGTGCGTCGTAAGATAGATTACTCTTTTTGGTCAACCAGCGCCTTTCGTGTTTATCAAGGATATTGAGTGTCTGAACATCTCGGGCTAAAGTTGGCAGCCTCTCCGAATGTCCACCAGCCGTTGGAAGAGTTCTTGGAGAAAAGGTTTCAAATGCTATGCTGTCATTGTCCCTGGAATCCGGATGATCGGATTGGACAAAGCGCGAGTCTTTTAGTCCAGCCCCAATCGACCTGAAGATGATGCGGGATGTGTCTTCTGTGGAATGCAAAATTACATCTTGAATATCATTCTGCAAGATAATTTGTTAATAATTATAACTATTTCTTCAAGTATTAAAAAACTCACTATACGTTTCTTGATAATTCCAAAGAGAACTTGATGTTCCTAATGTCTTCCATCATTGACAGCAGCGACAAGGCACATTTCAAAACAAAGAAAACAAATGCGCCAAACAAAAGAAAATACGCTAAACATGTGCACAAACATCACACAGATCAGAAACACAGAGGAACTGGACAGAGCAGGTTTTACAACAATTTTCTCAGTACTCAGTCTACGAAGGCTCAGATGGCTGGGTATGGAGGATGATAAAGTTCTAAAGACATCCTCTATAGTGAATTACAGTTGAGTAGAAGATGTCGAGGTTGGCCTCTACTATGATATACAGATGTGAGCAAGCGGGATATAAAGGATACATGTAGTGAGTTAGATTGTGGGAACACAGTTCCATGGAGCGCGTTGCGTGCAAGCTCCCAATCAGAAAGGGAATTAGAGTTGTTGATGAGTTGAATTGAATCGATTTAAGAATCGACATTACAGCACTCGGGGCATTTTCATAACCGCCTCGTACCCATTTTCAGCAGCCAGCGCAGAGTTCCAATACCAATTGTGCCAATAGTATTCTGATTATAGGTCCGTCTTGCCTTTCATCGGAGCGTCGAGTATCGGCTAGATCGACGCGTCACTCCCCGCTGCCTCACTGTCACCAGACTGTGGTGATTCATTTGCTCCTTCACGTTCTCCCACAAGGCCCTAGCCACGTCTACCTTAGCATGCATCAGTAGTCCATCAAGCCAATCTGTCAGCCTGTTCATTTCCCAACACACCGGCATTCCCGGAGAAAATATCTAGACAACGATCCATACCTGTGGTCTCCAAAACGAAGCATGCATGTCTTCACCTTCCTTGGCAGGCTTTTTGTCAGGGAATGAGAATGATGGAATAAATGATCGCAAAAAAAGGATGAGAGCTAAGCATTTGGAAAAACGGAAAAGTGGCAGCTATCTAGCTAACTACAAACATGCTCTCTACATGCAGTCGAGAGATTCTGGGTTTGGTCGGTTGACATTCCAAAGAAAATGTGACTTTTTTCCTGAAGATTGGGGAGAATGTCGTTAATAATAGAAATACAAACGATGCAGTCCTTCTGGAGACAGATGATTAGAACGATTAGACGTAAAGCGTGTGCGTGTTTAGGACATGCTGTGAGAAGGAATGGACTCAGGAACTTGGTAACAACGGGCACGACTGGTGGAAAGAGAGCAGCTTGGAAGCAGAGAGATTAATTTATGGACGACTTGATCACCTAGATGGGGGGCGAATCAAGAACACTGACCTGAGAGGGGATTCTGGTGATCGTGTGAGATGGCACAACATAGACAGCCTACGCTTACCGGCACGGCACATGATGATGATAAAGAAGGTGTAGGTGTTGGTTGTGGTGATAATGATGATGATGATGATGATGATGATAAATTCTTAAGTGTCCAAAACTTAAAATATTCGATTTAAAATAATTTTACCATGGGTTATTTGTGGTTTAGACACAGTCGTGTGGTTACTAGATGCATGCCTCAAAACTCAAAGATCTTCTGTTTAAATCCGTATCAAGTCGGAGATTTACTGGAATCCTCTGTGGTGCATTGGCTAGACGCTCGCCTGCGAATGGGAAGGTCGTGAGTTCGGGTCCTGAAATAGCAGGACTTTTTTTTCGAAAATGATTTTGGCTGCCAGGTCGACATAGCATTGGAAGGGTGGAAGGTTGAGTCCTGGGAAGTGAAGGTGGTCGGCGTGATGCTGACCAC